AGATTGTCAGCAAGGTTATTCAAAGTTGATTGTCAGCAAGGTTATTCAATGTTGATTGTCAGCAAGGTTATTCAAAGTTGATTGTCAGCAAGGTTATTCAGTTCTTATAAATGCGGATTTTGGAAGCTCATGTTTTGCCAAGTGGTATGCACATTTCATGTATGTTGTTATGGAATCAGCTTCTTTTGTGAGGATGTCATCTACCTGATTTGGCAATGCCTATTTACCCTTATATTTCAGTCTTGTTACTGAAGACTTGTGTTGGTTTGCTAGAAAAGATATTAAACACACTCTTTATATAAAGAACAAGATTGCATTTGTGAAAAATGCTATGCCACCGCATTTATACAACACTTAATAGTAATGTAGGAACAGAATTTTTTTTTCTGAAGATTGCCATAATGCATAGACCACTGACCTATCTAATTCTTATTATCAGATTAGTGGTTAAATCTATTGTTATTCAAATAAAAGATCAGAGTAGGAATGTACCAATGCTGTGCTAGTGAATTTGGTGGTGAAGGTCATATTTCACATGACCAAAATTCCGTGACTGTACATCAAAGGACAACACAGTAAGACACTTTGTCAAAATCAAGGCCAGGTGATATTAAATTTCACTTTACATCTTAATCTGTGCACATGGTTCAAATTTCATAGCTGCATATCAAAGGACAAGAAAGTCGGTCACATCATCAAAATCTAGGTCACCTGATATCAAAGTTCAATTTTACAACTAAAACTGTGCACATAGTCAAAATTTCTTGGCTGTACATCAAAGGACAAGAAAGTAGGTCACTGTCCCCTTGGGCAAGGCAAAATTTTGACCAAAGGGTTTAATTCAAACAATCTTGATACAGGTCCACCAAACAATATTTCATGTCAAATATCTAAACTGTAGCTTTCTGCAATTCAGTTAACTTTTGTTTTAGTTTCTGTTTTTACTATGCGTACATAATGAAAATCAACGCCCCCGGGCAGGGCCAATTTTGATACCAGGGGCAAAATTTGAACAACTTTGGTAGCTGACCTATGGATAATATTATAAAGCAAACATCAAAGCTCTAAGCCTTGTAACTTCAGACAAAAAGATGTTTTAATTTTTTACTACAACATGTATATGTATATAGTGAAAATCAATGACCCCGGGGAGGGACCAATTTTGACACCAGGGCTATAATTTGAACAATCTTGGTTGCGGTTCACTAAAAGTCTCATGCCAAATATCTAAGCTCTAGCCTTTGTCATTTCAGAGAAGAAGATTTTTTAAGTTTTTACTATATACATATAAGGAAAACTATCACCTCTGGGGCAGGACAATTTTAACACCAGGGGCATAATTTAAACAACTTTGGTAGAGGACCCATAGATGATATTATATACAAAATATCAAAGCTCTAAGCCTTGTACCTTCAGACAAGAAGATTTTTAATTTTTTACTATATGTACATAGTTACTGAAAATCAATGACCCCCGAGGCAGGGTCAATTTTGACCCGAGGGCTATAATTTGAACAATGTTGCTAGAGGTTCACTACACAATGTTTCATGCAAAATATCTAACCTCTAGCCATTGTCAATTAAGAGAAGATGATTTTTTTAAATTTTTTACTATTAGTACATAGTGAGAATCAATGACCTCCGGGGCGGGGCCAATTTTGACCCAAGGGCTTTAATTTGAACAATCTTGCTAGAGGTTCACTACACAATGTTTCATGCAAAATATCTAACCTCTAGCCTTTGTCAATTTCGAGAAGATGATTTTTTAAGTTTTTACTATATACATAAAAGGGAAAACCTATGACCCCTGGTGGGGCTGATTTCGACACTAGAGGCAAAATTTGAACAACTTTGGTAAAGTACCTATAGATGATATCACATACCAAATATCAAACCTCTAAGCCTTGTACCTTCAAACAAGAAGGTATATTAAGTTTATATAGTGAAAATCAATGACCCCTGATGGCATAAAAACGTAATTTTTTCATTTAGATATTTAATTTTGAATGTACATTATAAAACAGCGCTTTGTCATTTTCTCTTATCATATATGTTTCAAGTTATAAACATTCTATAAAATTAACAGGAGATCTTTGATAAAAAAAAGTATCAGTGTTTTTTTTCACCAAAATATTCGGCGAAATTCGGCCCCATTCCCCCCTCAAAATAGTATGTTTTTTTCCCCCTCAAAGCCGAAATTTCCCCCTATACAGCAGCCCGAATTTGCCTGCAATGGATATAATTTTTTTGCAACTAACTGCCGAAAAATGTTTTATCTTATGCCTGTAAGACTTACTGACACTGTTAAGCAATGTTGTTTACAAATAATTCTCAGGTAAGTAAGGGGTGCTACTTCCGGCTTTCCAACAAGTTTAACATGTGACACGTTGATATTTTAGATCCGTTTATTAAAGTGACATTATGCTCATATTTTCACAGTCAAATTGAGCTGAATTGACTTTATATTTAAAAAGATTGCCTGTTAAAATAGTGTTTGACCAGCAGGTGATATTCGTAAATGTTTAGGATAAAATTATAAATCTGACTTAAATACAATTAGAACTCCGCGAGTCGTATGTGTCGCCTTGTAAACAATATAGTTTAAGAGAAATGGCCAGGAAAAAAATAAAATTTGAAAATCAACAAAGGGCAATAACTCAAAAAATAAGAAAAGCAGATCAGCAGTTTCTGTGCACTGCACTTCTTATCAATAAGATCTATCATCCTATTAAGTTTCAAGTCTAAAGCTTTTATAATTTATGAGAAATGGCCTGGACAAAAATAAAGTATGAAAATTAACAAAGGGCAATAACTCAAAAAATAAGAAATGCAGAGTACCAGTTCTTGTGCACTGCACGTCTTCTTAATGAGATCTATCATCCTATTAAGTTTCAAGTCCATAGCTTTTATACTTTAGGAGAAATGGCCTGGACAAAAATAAAGTAGGAAAATTAACAAAGGGCAATAACTCAAAAAATAAGAAATGCAGAGTACCAGTTCTTAGGCACTGCCAGAGAATCTAATCATCCATGAAGTTTTATGTCCATTATAATTTATGAAAAATGGCCTGGACAAAAATAAGTATGAAAAAAAACTAACTCAAAAAATAAGAAATGCAGAGTGCTTTGTGCATGCAATCTTAAATGAGATCTATCATCCTATGAAGTTTAAGTCCATAGCTTTTATATAATTTTATAAACAAAGGGCCAATAATGAATAAGAAGTGCAGAGTACCGGTTCTTGTGCACTGCACTTCGGGTCATTATAAGAAGCATGCATATCAAGTTTAAAGTCAATCCGACTTATGATGACTGACTTATGCTCCGGACAAGCTTTAGGGGACGACGACAACGACGCCTACACCGCCGACAAAAGTAACCCCTATATGTCGCCTTTTTCAAGGCAACACAAAAAGACTACCCCACTCTTTTTATAAACTGAACGGTACACATAAATTCTAATGGATATTTACAGGAAATTCTTTAGGATCTGTGCATTATTTATTGTTTTTGCGAAGTCAATTATTAGATCAAAAGGAATTATTGTAAAATGAAACTTATTTATATATTCACATGTTCACTCACTTTATACCCTTGGATGGGCATAATGTCACTTTAAGAAAGCGATGTATTTTAAACTTGTGTTGCAAAAAATTGCTCCCCTTTTCCACCTGAAAGAAAACATAATAAAATAAATTAACAAATAAAATTCCCCCTACTATTGCATTTTTTCCCCCTCCAAAGGGCACCGACCCCCTTCCCCCAAAAGTGAAAAAGAACACTGAGTATATAGATGATTAAAAAAAATGAATGATCTATGTTCACATGTGAGTGCAAATTTGCTCTTTTTAAAAAATCACAAACATGAAATATATATATAGGCATAAGAAGCAGAAGGCCTTGCATTCAAAATGGTTGTTGTTGTTGTTTTTTTTGTTTTTTTAATTAGAAAGGTATAAACAGATATACATGTACTTACATTCAGCATGTCTTGTGTGATTTGTAGTTTTTTCCTGGTTTTGAATGACCACGAGCATATGCATTATCCAATTTACATGAACGGCAGAGTTTACAATGCCAAACACCATCCTCATCTACTATATACCAATCAAAACTATCTTGATGAACTTTTTATTTTGGAGGTTCAACAGTTTCTGAATGTGATTCTAACTTTCTTTTAACACCGTTTCCAGAGTTAATAAATTTAAATAAAGTTTTCTGAGCCATGATTTTTTTCAAAAGTTCTTTAAACCATAATTACATTTATGCTGTCACATTTAAATCAGATTTAATTAAGAATGATAATTTGAAAGCCATTTTACATGTATTGTTATAATTATTTTAATTACTATTGTAAGTAGCGGTGCTAACCAGTTTGTTTGTTTTTTGTTTGTTTTGGGTTTTACGTCACATCGACTCAGTATAGGTCATATCGCGACGTTTCAGCTTTACTGGTGGAGGAAGACCTCAGGTGCCCTTCCGTGCATTATTTCAGGCACGAACGGGCACCTGAATAGAACCACCGACGTTCCGTAAGCTAGCTGGATAGCTTCCTCACATGAAACAATCCAAAGTTCCTGTCGGGTTTCGAGAGGGGCAAGTGGTTTGAAGTCAGCGACCTTTACCACACGGCCACGGAGACGCCCCGCGGCGCTTACCAGTGCTAAACAACAACAACAAACTGGTAAACTTATAAAGGGATAATTTAAATTAAACACATTAATATATGTTTGATGTAACTTAATTACCGTCTATCTTGCTTTAATTTTAATCCGCCGCATTCGTATCAATGTACCAATTAATTAACAGATTTAACACCCGATCTTTACTACTCTCAAACAATGCACTATTTTTAGCGATGTTGGTTACCCCATTTTTGCTAAGGCCACACTTCAGTGTGTGTGCTAATTACGGCAGATTACACAATTAAATCTGCCTTCGGGCATTGTTTTTACTTATAAAACAATATCATAAATTCCTGGCTTGACTCAATTTAACTTACATCTCTGGATGTTTTCTTTGATGAGGTCTGAGATGTCCTTACTCCAGATATTTTAGAACCAAATGCAATGTGGAAGTTATCACCTGATTGGGTAGAGGACCTCCTGCCACTGCCACTCAAATCTATATGAAGCAAACAATAATATTGGTAACACTAATCAATTACTTTGACAAAGATAGAAATAAAGCTTGACCATGAGAAAAAGTAGAAAGTCTATTTTTATCCTTTGTGACCTTCATTTTCACATTTCCCCATGTTCCCAAGCAGGAACTTGAGCATTATTTAATCTTTTACACTTAAGATAATGGAATCAAAGAGTCTGCATATTGTTTTTAAACTGAATGTCTTACAGGTTTAACACCCAAACAACAAAGAATTTAAATCACTATATGTGTCATTATAAATTTAACACATGATGGTTAAATATAGAATTCAATCAACATGGAGTTCAAACTTTTCCAAAAATATTCATGATTTAGTCTTTGTAATCATACCGAGATCTAGGTTACTATTTATAGAACCCCTCATATCTCCACCGCCCCTCAATCTCTCAGCATGCTTTATTTTGTCAATTGTCAGCAACTGGAAAAAAATACCAAGAAGAGACACATTCAGTAATTTAATTATGCACACATCTTCATCTAAAAACAAGAGGGCCATGATGGCCCTGAGGTTGCTCACCTGTATAAAGGCACCTGGAGCGGGGCCAGTTTAAACCCCAGGGCTTTTATTTGAACAAACTTGGAAGACACTCATTAGAAGATGTTTCACGATGTTAAGTTTTTACTACACACATATAATGAAAAACAACGATCTACACCCCCCATCCTCCTGTTCTCCCCAGCCCCCCGGCAGGGCCAATTTTAACCCAAGGGCATTTATTTGAACAAACTTGGTAGACACCCATAAGAAGAGGTTTCATGCTAAACATCTAATCTCTAGCTCATTGGGTTTTTTTAAAAGAAGATTTTTTAAGTTTTTACTATACACATATAGTTAAAACCAATGACACCCCTGGGGCGGGGCCAATTTTGACCCAAGGGCTTTATTTGAACAAACTTTGTAGACAATTACATGATGTTTCATGCTTAATATCTAAACTCTAGCTATTTGGGTTTTTTCAAAGAAGATTTTTAAGTTTTTGCTATACAAATATAAGGAAAATCAATAACACCCCGGGCGGGGCCACTTTAGACTCCAGGGCTTTTATTCGAACAAACTTTGTAGACACTCACTAGAAGATGTTTCATGCTTAATATCTAAACTCTAGCTATTTGGGTTTTCTCAAAGAAGATTTTTTAAGTTTTTGCTATACAAATATAAGGAAAATCAATAACACCCGGGGCGGGGCCACTTTTGACTCCAGGGCTTTTATTGGAACAAACTTTATAGACACTCACTAGAAGATTGTTCATGCTTAATATCTAAACTCCAGCTATTTGGGTTTTCTCAAAGAAGATTTTTTAAGTTTTTGCTATATACATTTAAGGAAAATCAATGAGCCCCGGGGCGGGGCCAATTTTGACCCCAGGGCTTTTATTTGAACAAACTTGGTAGACACCCATTAGAACATGTTTCATGCTAAATATCTAAACTCTAGCTCTTTGAGTTCTTTAAAAGAAGATTTTTTAAGTTTTTACTAATTTATGCATATAGGGAAAATCAATGACCCCCTGGGGCGGGGCCAATTTTGACCCCAGGGCTTTTATTTGAACAAACTTGGTAGACACTCATTAGAAGATGTTTCATGCTAAATATCTTAGCTCTAGCTCTTTGGGTTCTTTAAAAGAAGATTTTTTAAGTTTTTACTATATGCATATAGGGAAAATCAAAGACCCCCTGGGGCAGGGCCAATTTTGACCAAAGGGCTTTTATTTGAACAAACTTGGTAGACACTCACTAGAAGATGTTTCATGCTTAATATCTAAACTCTAGCTATTTGGGTTTTTTCAAAGATGATTTTTTAAGTTTTTGCTATACACATATAAGGAAAATCTAGACCCCCAGGGCGTGGCCAATTTTGACCCCAGGGCTTTTATTTGAACAAACTTTGTAGACACCCATTAGAACATGTTTCATGCTAAAGATCTGAGCTCAAGCTCTTTGAGTTCTTTAAAAGAAGATTTTTTAAGTTTTTACTATATGCATATAGGGAAAATCAATGACCCCCTGGGGCGGGGCCAATTTTGACCCCAGGGCTTTTATTTGAACAAACTTGGTAGACACTCATTAGAAGATGTTTCATGCTAAATAATAGTAAATATCTTAGCTCTAGCTCTTTGGGTTCTCTTTAAAAGAAGATATTTTAAGTTTTTACTATATGCATATAGGGAAAATCAAAGACCCCTGGGGCGGGCCATTTTGACCCCAGGGCTTTTATTTGAACAAACTTGGTAGACACTCATTAGAAGATGTTTCATGCCAAATATCTAAGCTCTAGCTCTTAGGGTTTTTTAAAAGAAGATATTTAAAAAATTTCTTTCGGTTGCCATGGCAACCAGAGTTCTGCATGGAATGGAATTCTTTGAACAACTTTGTTAAGGCTTCACACAAGGAACATCCCTGTGAAGTTTCATTATGATCTGCCTTATGGTTTCAGAGGAGATGTTGTTTTAAAAGTGTTAACGGACAACGGATGACGTACGACGGACGACAGACGACAGACGAAGAGTGATCCTAATAGCTCACCCTGAGCATATGCTCAGGTGAGCTAAAAAGAAGCAAAATTTAACAGTGTATTTACTTTCAAGTATTTTCTCTTGAAAGTCACCAATGAAAGTTTTTCAAAGCATTTTTAGTCTAACATCAATAATACATTTTGACTATCATTACAAGTTATCTTTCATGAGAATATCCACCTGGTTTAACTATTTACTGCAAAATCATTATTATTCATGAGAAACTAATTTTCGTGTTTTTTTGTGGATAGGTCAATCCACAAATTTAAGATCCAACAAAGTTTTATTTTGTCTGCAGTAAGATTATTTTGAATCATATTTTTTGCATTTGATCTTTCCAGAAAGAAAAACAAGAACCGGTTGAACCGGGTGATGCTCCCCGAGAAGGTTCTGGACACAGGAAAGTATAAAAAAAATGAACAAAGGGCAAAAACTCCAAAATTAGGCAAAGCGGAGTTATGTTTTTTTGCACTGCACTTCTATTCAATGAGATCTATCTATAAAGTTTCCTGATGATATCAGAGTTATGTCCCGGGTAAAAGTCAAAGTGTAAAAATGAACAAAGGGCAATAACTCCATAATTAGACCAGGCTTTGTTTAGGTTCTTTAAGCATTGCAATTCTATCCAATTATATCTAGCTACCTACAAAGTTTCAAATTGATATCTCTAATAGTTTTAAAGTATTGTCCAGGACAAAAGTCAAAAAGTAAAAATAAACAAAGGGCAATTACTTCAAAATAAGGCAAGGCAGAGTAATGATTCTTGAGCACTGCACTTCAACCCAATGAGACCTATCTATCTACAAAGTTCCATGTTGATATCTCTTATAATTTTAAAGTAATGTCCCAGACAAAGTCAAAGTGTCAAAATGAATAAAGGGCAATAACTCCAAAAGTAGGCAAAGTTTCATGTTGATACCTCTTAAACTTTTAGAGTTATGTCCCGGACAAAGTTCAAAGTGTAAAATAAACAAAGGGGAGAATTCAAAAATAAGGCAAGGCAGAGTTATGGTTCTTGTGCACTGCACACCTACTCAATGAGATCTATCTAACTACAAAGTTTCATGTTGATACCTCTTATACTTTTAGAGTTATGTCCTGGACAAATTTCAAAGTGTAAAATAAACAAAGGGGGATAATTCAAAAATTAAGCAAGGCAGAGTTACGGTTCTTGTGCACTGCACACCTACTCAATGAGATCTATCTACCTACAAAGTTTCATGTTGATACCTCTTATACTTTTAGAGTTATGTCCCGGACAAAGTTCAAAGTGTAAAATAAACAAAGGGGGGTAATTCAAAAATTAGGCAAGGCAGAGTTACGGTTCTTGTGCACTGCACACCTACTCAATGAGATCTATCTACCTACAAAGTTTCATGTTGATACCTCTTATACTTTTAGAGTTATGTCCCGGACAAAGTTCAAAGTGTAAAATAAACAAAGGGGGATAATTCAAAAATTAGGAAAGGCAGAGTTACGGTTCTTGTGCACTGCACACCTACTCAATGAGATCTATCTACCTACAAAGTTTCATGTTGATACCTCTTGTTGTTTCAAAGTTATGTCCCGGACAAAAAAGGGGACGGACGGACGGACGGACGAACAGACAGACGGACGGACGGACGGACAGACAAGGCGGCAACTATATGCTCCCCCGAAATTTTTTCGGGGAGCATAAAAAACAGTCTACAAATTCAGGAACCTACAAAAATGTTCTTAGTGACAAAAAACACCAAATTTCATGCCCACGAAATAAAGCAAATTCCTGCTGAATTTGTGTAATGGACTTGCTTTGAATGCTTTGAATGTGGAACAGTCCATTCTGAGTTAAAGGGATTTCATTAACAAGGTACAAAACAACAAGATTGAAGATAGAGCCTTGTCAAACTGCAGGCACTGGGACATACCAGCTAACCTAATATTCTCTGCTGGTGACAAAGGAAAAGGCTTATGGTTCCAGGGGGGCTAAAGCTTAAATCAAGTTTGCACATTTTTAGTACATTCATTGATTTGTATATATTTTTTTTCTGACCCAAATTTAAATAAAACAAGAATGCATTTGTGAAAAAAATGCTATGCCTAAGCATTAATTATTAATTAATACAACAGCCAACGCCAGGCGGGGGCCACACTGAACTTTTTACTTTTTCTAAAAGCAAACAAAGAAACGATTGAACAAATCTTAATGTTTCCTTTTTATAATTTTAATAGGTCTGTCTTGTCACATTAGTTTTTTCAAAGTATGAATCCTCTCCATAAATAATTGACAATAGTCAGAAAATATCAAAATTCAGAAGGAAGAAAATATATATATATATATATATACATAATATATATATATATATATATATATAAAACAAAATACACAGTCCATGAGTTAACTTATTTAATTATTTGCCAACCGGTTTCTCTTATGATCATCAGGGCAAATGTGACGTCGTCGCATAGTAACGACGATGTTTTTGTGCACACATATATACATACACACCAATATATATGGTTATTTAATGCACAAATCAGTGAAAATTCAATAATTTAACCTTCAATGTCAAGGTCATAAAAGAGCCTGGAGGTCAATTTGAGTTTGATAAACATGAAGGTCTTGTCCTTTAGAATATTCTTTTATAATATGAAGTCAATCCATTCAATAATAGCAAAGTTACAGCCAGTTACAGCCAAAACAATGAAAATTTCAATAATTTGATCTTCAAAGTCAAGGTCATTGATGAGTGAAGGTCAAGGTCTGTCTGGTTATTTTAATGGGCTATCCTTGAAGATTATTCTAAAAAAGTTATGATCCAGGTACAAGTTTGCGGACGGCAACGCCGCCAGGACTATAACAATATCTCTACTTTAAAAAAAAAAAAAAAAAAAGTTGATCTAAAAATACAACATGATTCACTGGAACAAAGTCAATAACATATTAAGTACCTGTGTTAAATGGTTGAATTCACTAGCAAACTGACATTGTTTAGGTATCTGATCTAATTCTCCTACATTGCTGGGTGAGCAGCCATACAACTCTGAAAATGTTAAATATCCATTATAAAGTAATTTCTTGTATCACATAAACCATTGTGCAGGAGTCTTATAAAGCCATTTAATAAAAACTATATAACATTAGTGTTACATGTATAACTAGTTAGTGTGGGAAGGGGGTTGTAGTTCAAGCAACAGTCCAGGGATTTAAATAAACTCAAATAGTATTCTGTTTATATTCTCTATGGGTTACGTTAAATTTTAAAGGTTTATATAAAACATAAAATTCCCCCGGTTGCGCTGATCTTATAGTAAAAATTTTTGAAAACATTTTCCGAGAAAAGTAAACTGTTAAAAAATTGTATGTTTCCCCTCTCCATGTCTCACCAATCATAGACACCAGGTCCAAACATAAGTTCAGCCACTACAAAACAAAACAAACAAAATTATTACTACAATCTCATGAGGAGAATACTTGAATATAAATGTATCAGAGTGTCAATTTGTTAAATTTATTCTGAAAAATTATGCAAATACATGTACTCAATAAACAAAAGTTCTACTTTGTTAAAACATTAATTATCCTTTCTAAATCTATTTCCAAGTAACAAAGTTGTGGGGAAAGATATTTTTTTAAATATGTATGCTGTAGGTCAAGGTTATTGAGTGGTTTATATGGTTTATAAAATCAGGTCCTTGACATATTTAATGTTGTATACATATCAAATGCAGACTATAGGAAGTAAAGTCAGGTCATAATATATATACATATATATCAACACTGAATTCATGTACATAATGCAAACAAATGAGGGGATACATAGCCTGTAAAATTCTTTTAAATAAACAAAAGCATTGACTATTTTACATTCTCATTAATCATAGATATATGCATATACATGTATATGTTACTTTTAATATATGTGTTATTGTAACTCTCACAATGCGGTCAAACAATGCACTTTACAATAAAATCAGAACACCTATATGACCAATATAGTATAAACTTATCTTTACATCATGATCTACAATTTTGCTTTAAACTTAAACCTTCAAGAGAAAAAACCATTCTTTACACCTACCATTCCTACTTTGATAATTTTAAGAGGAATCTTTGCATGTAGTGGTGTGATATGTATATCTTTCTGTGTTGTAGACAACATCAATCGTCTTTTACCATTCTTCATATCTGACATACTGTTGTGATTAAATATGGAAGTATTGTTAAATCATGTTTACATAAAATCATTACTTTTTGTGTATAATATTGGTCCTAAGTAACACTGATGCTGTAAAGGCCGGTATGACAAGTTTCAAACTTTACTAGTCGAGGAAGGCTTCAAGTGCATGTATGTGTATTATTTCAGGCACCCTGAACAGTAACCACTGATCCACAGATGTCATGGGCAAGTGATAGAAAATTAATGGCTAACACCCCTCAGACACATAGGCCCTCACATAATATATAAAGATTAAATGTATTGTAAATATTGAGCATCTGCTACACAAGACAAAAGTCTATAATCAGGTTTTATATGAATTACTTCTCACAATGAAGGTTAGTTACAATCAGAATACCAAATGTAGTAACTGATACTAGTACATGATATAGATATGCAGTACTATAATATGGTTTTGTTCAGACTTCCATATAAGAACTGATCAGTAATTCATGTCAAAACTAGAAATGTGTCCATAGGACACGGGTGCCCCCACACTCCACTGATTTGTCAATCTTGTGTCTCTTGGTCAAATATTTTTTTGGCTACATATGCCCAAGTTGAAAACTAAAAATCTTTTATTAAGTAAAGGGCAAACACTACAAATACTGAATAAATCCACAAGAAAACCCCAAAGAGCATAAGTAAACATGCTGACCAACATTCTTGTAAACTTTCAGGCCTACAGGTTAAATACTTTTTGAGTTACCTGCAACATTAGTTGAATATTGGAAATTTTTACTAATTCAAGGGCAATAACTCTAAAAATACTAAATATATCCACACAAAAATACCCAGGTGCACAACTACACATGTTGATCAACATTCTGTAAGGTTTCAAGACTAGGTTAAATATTTTTTTAGTAACATGCGACACAAGTTGAAAATTGCAAATTTTTACTAAGTCAATGGCAATAACTCTAAAAATACTAATAATGTCCACTCGAAAATGCCCAGGTGCACAACTACACATGCTGAGCAAAATTCTTGTAAGGTTTCATGACTCTAGGTCAAATACTTTTTTAGTTACGTGCGACACAAGTTGAATATTGGAAATTTTTACTAATTCAAGGGCAATAACTCTAAAAATACTAAATATATCCACACAAAAATACCCAGGTGCACAACTACACATGCTTATCAACATTCTTGTAAGGTTTCATGACTCTAGGTCAAATATTTTTTGAGTTGCATGCGACACAAGTTGAAAATTGCAAATTTTTACAAAGTCAAGGGCAATAACTCTAACTAGAAATGTGTCATCATGCCACGGATGCCCCCGCATACAGCCAAAATTTCAAATGTTATAATATTTAGTTCCAAATTTGTTTGCACAAATTATTTTTTTCATTCTATGTTCAAAGCCCTTAAAACTTTTCAATGTTAACACAAACCATTTTTATACAATGTTCAAGGCACTGAAATTATTCAGTCTTAACCTTTTGAAAATAGCATATTGCATATTTGTAGCCAAAATAATGGCTATATACATTTCCACAAAAGTATGAGTGCTGAAACTGAAAGTTCAAAATTTTTCCAACATTCAGGAAAGATAAGTTTGTCCAAAATCATTGAACAACGACCAAATTCCAACTTAAACTGCTTATTCCTAAGATGTATCTATATTATTTTCAAAGTGAAAGGGACATAACTCTGCCAAAAAATCATCGAACCATGACCAAATTCCAACTTGACCTGCGCATTCCTTTGACATATCCATATGTCAATTTTGAGTTGAATATGTAATACTGTTGGGTTGATAATGAACAGAAACTGTAAATTTCATATCATTTTCAAAGTGAAAGGGGCATTACTCTGCCAAAAATCATTGAACCATGACCAAATTCGAACTTGGCCTGCACATTCCAAAAATATATCCATATGTCAAATTTGAGTTGAATGTGTAATACTGTTGGGGAGATAATAAACGGAAACTGAAAATTTCATATTATTTTTAAAGTGAAAGGGGCATAACTCTGCCAAAAATCATCGAACCATGACCAAATTTGAACTTGACCTGCGCATTTCTTTGACATATCCATATGTCAAATTTGAGTTGAATGTGTTGTACCGTTGGGGAGATAATGAACGGAAACTGAAAATTTCATATTATTTTCAAAGTAAAAGGGGCATAACTCTGCCAAAAATCATTGAACCATGACCAATTTCGAACTTGACCTGTATTTTTTCATGACATATCCATATGTCAAATTTGAGTTGAATGTGTTGTACCATTAGGGAGATAATGAACGGAAACTGAAAATTTCATATTACTTTCAAAGTAAAAGGGGCATAACTCTGCCAAAAATCATTGAACCATGACCAATTTCGAACTTGACCTGTATTTTTTCATGACATATCCATATGTCAAATTTGAGTTGAATGTGTTGTACCGTTAGGGAGATAATGAACGGAAACTGAAAATTTCATATTATTTTCAAAGTAAAAGGGGCATAACTCTGCCAAAAATCATTGAACCATGACCAAATTTGAACTTGACCTGTATTTTTTCATGACATATCCATATGTCAAGTTTGAGTTGCATGTGTTGTACCGTTAGGGAGATAATGAACGGAAACTGAAAATTTCATATTATTTTCAAAGTAAAAGGGGCATAACTCTGCCAAAAATCATTGAACCATGACCAATTTCGAACTTGACCTGTATTTTCTCATGACATATCTATATGTCAAATTTGAGTTCAATATGTGCAACGGTTATTAAGACAAGCAATTATCATAGTATTGCAAGCAATCCATAAGTCCCCTACCGGTAAGAGCCCAAGCAACATTCTGAAGGGCCATTGGCCATTCACTTAGGTTCCTATTTTAAGTAAATTTGTTGAAAAAGTTCTTTAAAAGTGATCACAGGAAACAGTTTTTATGTACAGACAGACGGACTGAAGGACACTCTAAAGTTATTTTTTAAACATCCCTGTTATCAAAATATAACATTTTTAAAATCCTATCATGATTGAAGAAGTTGGAGTAAAAATTACCAATTTCTCAAAAAAAAGTCTAAGTTCAAAAGGGGCATAATTCTGGAAATAGTCTTGCTAGAGTATTGAACACTCACAAATGTTGAGTGATAATAAGAAACATTTATATGAAGTTTGAAGTAGATACATTCAGAAAAAGAAGTTATTAAAAAAAAAACAATGTTTTTTTCATGAAAATTTTAAGTTCAAGGGAGGTAATTCTGATAAATTTTGTGCTAGAGTTGTGAACCTTGTCACATATGATGTGGTTGATGACAAGCAACTTATATTTAAAGTTTGAAGAAAATACCTTAAGAAATAAAGAACTTATAGTGAAAAAACTTAAAAACTAGAATCAGAAATCTTGAAATTCAGTCTATTTGTTGCCATAGCAACCAGAATTTTCAACATAGGAAGATAAGAAAAGGACGTGCATAATTTCCATACTGCCATCTACCCATATGTCAAGTTTCATAAACATATTTTCAGTACTTTTTGTGTTATCACTGGATCCAGGTTATGTGTAAAATTTGCCATATTTTCAATCTATTTGTTGCCATAGCAACCAGAATTTTCAACATAGGAAGAAAAGAAAAAGACGTGCATAATCTCCATACTGCCATCTATCCATATATCAAGTTTCATAAAAATATTTTCAGTACTTTTTGCGTTATCGCGGGATCCAGGTTATGTGTAAAATTTGCCATATTTCCAGGTTATGTGTAAAATTTGCCATATTTTCAATCTATTTGTTGCCATAGCAACCAGAATTTTCAACATAGGAAGAAAAGAAAAAGACGTGCATAATCTCCATACTGCCATCTATCCATATATCAAGTTTCATAAAAATATTTTCAGTACTTTTGCGTTATCGCGGGATCCAGGTTATGTGTAAAATTTGCCATATTTTCAGTCTATTTGTTGCCATAGCAACCAGAATTTTCAACATAGGAAGAAAAGAAAAAGACGTGCATAATCTCCATACTGCCATCTATCCATATATCAAGTTTCATTAAAATATTTTCAGTACTTTTTGCGTTATCGCGGGATCCAGTTTTGTGGACGGACGGACAGACGGACGGACTGACGGACGGACGGACGGACGGACAGACGGACGGAGGGTAAACCTAAAGTCCCCTCCGGTAAACCGGTAGGGGACTAATAATGAACGGAAACTGATGATGACGGAAGGACGGAATGACGGAATGACGGAATGACGGAACAGGGTAACACTATATGCCCTTGCCATTATATGGCGGGGGCATAAAAATACTATAAATATCCACATGAAAATACCCAGGTGCACAACTAAACATGCTGAGCAAAATTCTTGTAAGGTTTCATGACTCTAGGACAAATACTTTTTTAGTTACGTGTAACACAAGTTGAAAATTGAAAATTTTTACTTATTCAAGGGCAATAACTCTAAAAATACTAGATATATCCACACAAAAATACCCAGGTGCACAACTACACATGCTGATTAACATTCCTGTAAGGTTTCATGACTCTAGGTCAAATATTTTTTTAGTTACATGCGACACAGGTTGAAAATTGCAAATTTTTACTCAGTCAAGGGCAATAACTCTAAAAATACTAAAAACATCCACACGAAAATACCCAGTTGCACAACTACACATGCTGATCAACATTCCTGTAAGGTTTCATGACTCTAGGTCATATACTTTTTGAGCTACGTGCGACACAAAAAGAGAACGGACGGATGGACGGACGGACGGAAGGATGGACAAGGGTAAATCTAAATGCCCCTCCCCCCCTATAGTGGGGGCACAAAAAGAACACAGGGTCAGAATTATTATCAATGCTTATTATTTTCAAACAACTTACCATACAGAAACATAATGTTTCTCACATGTTTTCAAAATTTATCTCTATCAAGCTTATCTGCTATTATTAAGACTATCGTATTACAAATCTTCATTTTTTCTTTTCTCACACTAAATGTGTAGCACAAAAAAATGTTTCCTGAAAGTTTTCAGTAACTAGATTAAAAAGTTTACCCAAGCTCCATGCTGAAGTCTGCTCCTTTCCTCAAAGCAATTTGAACAACTAGATACCGCTGTACAAGGTGCACTGAAGCCATTGAATAGATAATCCAAAGTTAATAAACATAACACTAAATATACAACACTATATTAAAAAAATTTAATGACTTACTTTCTATTTTAAATTATCAGAAAGTCAATGGTAATATAAGTACCTTTTTGTTTTTGTAAACATATCATTATATCAATAAATGAACCAAATTACAATAAACTTTAGAATTAATAAAATTGGTATCACATACATGTTCTGTCCATTAGATGATTTAAAGATTTGAATTTTAAAAGATTTAGCTACATGTACCAACAGAAAAGAGCCTGGTCGACAGAATGGAAGTGCACACTGGCCTAGCTTTATAATAGTGTCAATGGATAATTCAAATATATTTTTAGTTAGGATTAAGTCATCCACACACTGAAAAGGTGACAATATTATGATTTTACAGCTTTATTGTCCTGTGAAAGGGAAAAAGACCAAGTCATTTAATAAACTTACAAGACATTCTTGGGTCTTTAGGAATCTGTATTTTTGTTGTAGCAGTAGATCCTTCTAGAGTATAGGAAAAACTTTTAATCTCCTTGTCATAGTTCTGAAAGAAAAAAAATCAGTCCTATAACTTAATAAAACCAAATTGCACTTATAATACTTTATTCAAATAATTTAGAACTCCATTGAGATCAAATCTATAATCATGTAGATATATTTAAAGGGACTCCACTGAGGTTTAAAAGCCTAAAACATAATATTTGAATTTCTTACATAAATGAGCTGGGGCATTTTAAACAGAAATATATGCAAAGATAGTTAAAAAAATATACTTTGATCATATATTTATGCTTTTCTTAGCCCAATTTGAGTCAAAAGCGTTTAAACGCTTTTCATTTTGGGTCATTTCTTTACAATTTGAAAAATCATTCTGGAAAAGCAAAGTGCGCAAATGATCTGAAATTTTACACAAAGATTATTGGTCAAAACCTACATCAAATCGTACATCTGGAAAAAATATTTTCAGTCCCATCATGCCAAAAAACCTCAGTGGAGTCCCTTTAAACTGTTCATCACAAAACATCTATAAAATTTGCTTTCCATGTTTCACTGCTTAACAAAGATAGAGTACTGTAAAGAGAATATTTATGTTAAAATTTATTATTCTAGTACATATCAGGATCATAGGCTTACAATTTATATAATGGAAGCTGAAAATCTAACCTTCGATATTTGTCCTGACATTTTCCACTGAGACAATGTGTCTTTCTGCTGTGGTGAAAACACCTCAAAGTAAGGTCCGCCCTAAAATAATAAATTTGATTTTTTTCTGAAATATGTCAAACTAAATAAAACAAGGGTTAATCAATATGTCTTATTCTAGTTGGGTTTTATAATGGATCTGCTTCATAACTTTAATGCCACCCCAGATGACATATGTTATGATTTTGCGCAGAGCATTTATTGTCTAACTAATCCTAGTTATTTTATCAAGATTTACTTGAACACTTCACTGGTCTCCTAGCATTTCTTTCAGCATACCTGTCCTGACAAAGTGACAATGTCTAGAAACAGTTTAGCTACAGACCTTAAGATATGGCTTTAGCCTTTCAAGATTTTTTTATATGAAATTCTAAATACATGTACATAAATGTTCAAATGATAGGAAAATAGAAGAAATTATAAAGGGACATCAGTGATATTTTTAGCTGCATTCAACTTTTCGATCTAGTTTTGGCAGTGTTTTTTTTAATTGAAATGCATAAAAATTTGATTTCTGGCAACAAGAAAGTAACTATGACTGTGTATATTTTACAGACACAGTTTGTAGCTTTGTTTTACTAAACAATATTGAAATATTGATCTGGTTTCAACATGTGATTTCAAGACATTTCACATTTTGGCCTCAAAACCCTGGTCTTTTTGTCACCTTTTTTTCTATTAAATTATAAAATACAGTGCAGCTTTGAAAAAAAATTCCACAGTCCACCGATCCCCGCGATTCCCCCACCACACTCCCCCACCCCCGTGATTGTCACTGAGACAGTTGTGACTTTCCGCTCATCAGCCGATTGGGTGACATTCGCACTGCGTGATATTGTCACCATGGATCACTGTGAAATATTGCGGGTGACCATTTATCAATTTATTACACGTATTTACTTGCATCTGCAAAAAATAACACACACAACATTTGTCTTCTATAATATCTGAATGGTGGATATTTGCATGCCTGTTTTAAAAATGTTAAAATATTTAATGTAAGTTACCGAAATTCGTCACCGATTGTTGAAATTCCATAGGGCTAATTACACAAAAACACTTTTGCGCAAAGTAGCATCCATAAATAAATGTTTCCATCGTTAAATAATATACACAAATTTTACACACTAGATGATATCTAACAAATGACTAGTCGGCTCATATTAAGGATCTGTCTATCTTTGTTGTTAACACATGTGTAGTCCCTACTGAATCATCAAAGAAGTGCCGACACTCAATTGACTTCCACCTTTTTTTTACATATCAGAAAAAAAACCTGTCTTTTTTTTTGTGTCAAGAAGCACTTACACATGTTTAATTATTGCACAAATGAAATGGAAAAAAAAAGTTGGATAATTATCATGTCAATTATTGTCATATTATTAATCGTAAACACATTTTGATTGTGATAACTTTTTTACATTTTTTACGTAAATGGAACATCAGGATGATGTTATGGCTGTTATTAAAGCAATAGATAAGTGATATTTTTTTCTAACAAGACTACATTGTACATGTACGTGAACATTTATATGCCATATTTATCAAGGCAAATCACTGTGATTTTCCACCGGGGATTGCGGGAATTTTTAACCTTCCCGCGGTGATTTGCCACTGTGACTTGCCATACTAAGTTCCCAGCGATTCTCCACTCCCTGTTAAATGTCTGCGGTGACAAAGCGGATCATGCAAAAATCGCTTAAGCTGTACTAAATGACATTGATTACAGAAAAGGTTTCAAATGATACAGCATCATTACTCACTGATTTATCACCTTTTGTCTTTGACTTACTTTTGTTGTTACAGCTTGATTGGTCAAGTGACTGGATTATCTTGCATGTTATGGTTAACAAAAATGACAAATGTTTAACCGGTGACCTAATTACTGAGTTAAACATTTAACAGACCATAGTAATAAAATTCATAGATATTCAACATTATGATTAACTTTGTTTTTTCATGACAAGACATGTCATTTTGTTCATATTTTGTTGTTATCAACAATAACTACATTATTAAGTAACTAATTTCTGGCAATCAGATAGCATAAACAACTGAAATGCTAATGGAATGTCATAACTTTTTATTTGAAATTAAGGTGATGTTTAGAATAAATCTTTTAAAAACATTTTGTCTAATTACTTCGATTACTGGTTACAGGTTACTTAGTTTTCCTTACTGGTTTTTCGCTAAAATAATGATCAAGCATCAACAGGTGATTTCATGATTTACATGGATAAACACGACACCCCTGATCTCAATTATCACAGTCACTGAATGTAGCAGATGTGAATTTTATCAAGTTATTAAATTCTTAACTTTTCATTATTTATCATTTTTTAAACATGATGGGTCTTTAAATCATTAATTGAATTTGATGAGGTGGGTCTTTAAAGTTCGTAAAGGTGAACTGTTATCAATATTTCCCACAGACTTTTTCTTATTGTTGATTGGGTTGAGGTTGGTATAAGGTTTGTGCTTTGTACTGGTTGTATGACATTGTGGATTGTTTGGTTGTGGATGTTGTATTTTGGTATTTCTTCGCATTTCAATTGTCGGTTTTGACACTCACAAACAAGAGCTGTCGGAAGGACAGCAACGCTCAACTATTCTTAGTGCTTGATAGTAAAAAAGCCTTGATAATGTAAAATTTTCTAAGTTAACAAAAGGGCAAAATTTGTCTTTAAATCAATGTTACAGATATAGGCCTTGAAGAGAGTCCTATTATGCTCTCAAAGAAGAGTATAAAATTTCAACTTGTTTCAAAGCCAGATGTCAATAGAATATGAAAATATCTGGGGTGGTATGCAAACTTAAATGTAAATTCTAATGTAAATTGTAATGCTTCATAGAGTTACTTCCTCCTGTCTATAGGTTGGGGTTATGATGTTGAACAAGTGTGCAAAGTTTTAAAGCCATATGTCAATGGACTTTGAAAATATTTGAGGTATTACAAAAACTTTAACGTAAATTCTAAGTTGTGAAGGGGCATAACTCTGTGAAAATGCTTGATACAGTTACCTCCTCCTGTCTAAAGGTTGGGGTCATGATAATGAACAAGTGTGCAAAGTTTCAAAGCCATATGTCATTGGACTTTGAAAATATTTGAGGTATTACAAAAACTTTAACATTAATTCTAATTTGAACAAGAATCTGTGTTTGATAAACACAAATGCCCCCCCCCGCGCTCACTGTTGTCAATAATTTAACTTTAAAGAGTGAAGTAGCTAATTTGTATGGAAGAAAACCAATCATGTGTAGAAATCTGTAATTGGCACCCTTGACCTTGACCAACTGACCCCTACCTCTATCAAAAGGAGGAATATCATGCAAGTTATTTTCCTACCAAATATGAAATAAATCTGTCAATATATAAAGGCTGTATGGGCAATGTGTAAAAATCTATTTTTAGCACTGTTGACCATGACCCAACTGACCCCTAACTCCATCCAAAGGAAGAATACCATGTAAGTTATCTTCCTACCAATTATAATACAAATCTGTCAATAAATAAAGGCTGTATGAGCAAAAGTGTAAAAATCTATTTTTAGCACTGGTGACCTTGACCCAACTGACCCGTACAAATGTACCTCCATCCATATGAGAATACCTCAATTTTATGTTCCTACAAAATATACAAGATATCTGTCGATAGAATAAGGTTAATACATCTGTAAAAGTGTAAAAAAAATCTATTTTTGACATTGGTGACCTTGACCCAAATGACCCCTTACTGAGGGAAAAGGAAGAGGACCTTCCTTAGTATGACTATTATAAACATGAAAGACATTAACATAAAAATAAAGGCTGTATGAGCAGAAATGTTTATATTTATTTTTTTTACACAAGTGACCTTGACCTAGAGACGCCTAACGCCACAAAAAATTAGAGGACCGTTAAAGGTATCAAACTACCAAATATGAAAGATATCATTAAATAAATTAAGTAATTAGGTGAAATTTTTTGATAAATCCAACTTAGCGGAATAGGTTAACCATACAAGGCCCTATTTTCAAAGTGATAAAAAGGGAAATTACTGGGAAAATGGATGGCACATTTATATAACTTGGCAATATCATGTACATTGTATTGATAAGTAAGTGTGAAAATTATTAAGCCTTTAGTTCAGATAGAACATAAGATATTTCCAACTTGCCGGTTTAGTTTAACCATTATTCATTTTCTAAGTGCTGAAAAGGGCCATTATTTGGTGCAAATGGAAGCCATAGTTATGTAACTTGCCCGGATCATATACTTTGTATGGATTAGTAAGTGTGTAAATTATGAAGCCATTGGTACAGGTAGAACTTAAGAAAAATCCAACTTGCCGTTCTAGGTTAACCTCGTACGGACAGACGGACGGACAGTTCAATTACTATATGCCCGGGGGCATAAAAAGGGGCATATTTCTGTCAAAAATGCTTGATACAGTTACCACTTCCTGTCTACAGATTGGGGTCATGATGGTGAACAAGTGTGCAAAGTTTCAAAGCCATATGTCCAGTCAATGGACTTTGAAAATATTTGAGGTATTACAAAAACTTTAACATAAGTGGATAGCAGACGCTGACGTTTGAGTGACTACAATAGCTCTTCTTATTCTTATCGAATAGTCGAGCTAAAAAGCATTGTAATTGCTGGTCTACAACTGCCATTTTACTTCTTATTAACATCTTGCATGAATATGACTAACTTAACATTACAGCACAGTAGTTCAGTTGACAGTGGAGTTGAGTGTTTTTGTCAGGGTACTTGTTTTACAAAGTGTTTTTGTCAGGGTACTTGTTTTACAAAGTGTTTTTGTCAGGGTACTTGTTTTACGAAGTGTTTTTGTCAGGGTACTTGTTTTACGAAGTGTTTTTGTCAAGGTATGTAACTGTTGTATTGTTGTTGTAAACATCATATTGTAAAATATTATTTAAGCCTATTCTGGACTTGTTAAGTAATATAATGTATAGACCACCACACCACAAAACATCATCTCGATTTGATATTTTAATCCATGGCAGTGTTTTTTTTTCTTTATATAACTACTACCCTAA